GAGTTCTAATTACTTGGGAACAAATTAATCTTTATAAAGACTAATATTACTCCTGGCATAATGCATATTTTCTGGCATGCTGGGTCAATTGGTTTTAGCTTCTCCTTAAAAGTTATAGCTCTATAGTTTTCTTTTCCTTCTTGTTTAAACCCAAAAAGTACTCCCTGCTGGCTCCATCGCCAAAACCTGTAACAGTGCTTGCCATACATGGCATCAGGCACCTTCCCCTTCCCAGCCCCTCCCTCCCACCTCCAGGCATCATCTCCATTTGTGCACTTCCTTCCCACCACGTGCAGTGGGAGAGGTCTTTCACCTCCTGTCCACAGCTCATTCTGTCAAGTGAACTTATTCCATCCGTTCTGTCATCTCTGTGATTTCGCTTCATCAATTTTTGCCTCTCTTTCTCCTATAACTTCAACCTTTCCTGTGCCTCTGAAGGAAAACATGCTCAACTCTTATTCTCAGTGTAATTTTTGAGCCTCTTTAGTGCTCCCTCTAGCTATTGGCCTGTTTCTCTTCTTCTTCCATTTTCATCAAAATTTCTTGGAAAAGTTGTCTTCAACTCACTATCCCTATTTCCTAATCTCCCATTCACTTCTCAACCCATGCAATCTCGCTTCTGTCTCCCTCAATCTGCTAGAACTGACTTCTGTCCATGCTCATGCTTCTGCCTACGGTGCAATTTCTCTGAAGGTCTCCACTGTGAAGCTAGTTCTCTCAACGTCCTTGGGTTGGGTGCCCCTCTTCTGACCTCCTGGGAAATCTTTTTCAGGGAGCTCACTATTCATTAGCCCTTTCATGAAACTCTGAGACTCTTGAAGGCATCTTTGTATGTCTAACCCCTAGTCCAGCATCTAATAAGGTAGACACTCAGTAAATGTTTGTTTAATGAATGAATCAATAAATGAATGAATGCAAACCTCAATCTGTCTCTACAGCTCAGTTCTTTTTCAGGTATTCCTGAAACATACAGCCTATGATATACTGAGTGTCTGGAAAGTTTTATCAGACTTTCAAATTCAGTATATCCAATATTAAACACCATGTTCTTCTGAAAACTGACTTAAGTTCTAGATCTTTGTGAATAACACCATCATCAATTTCATTAGACAAGAAAAAAAGTCAGCCTTCCTAGACTCTTCCTTTTCTCCCACTCACTTACTTGAATCAGTCACTAAGACACACCAATTTATCCTTCTAAATATATTTCGAAATCATACCCTCTCCTCTATTCTTTCTGCTGTTGCTTTAACTTAAAAATACATCATCTCACACCTCAACAATTTTAATAACCTCCTAACAGGTAGCTCAGCAGCCATTATCTTCCCCTCCAATTCTTTATCTACACTTCCTTGGCAATGCTTATTTTAGAACTCAAATCTGATTCATTTATTCAATAAAAATTTATTGAGTACCTACTAAATTCCAGATGCTATTTAAGGCACTAAGGATATTGTAGGGAACAAAACAGATAAACTCTTTGCCCTCATGGAGTTAATACCCTACTGAGATCATATTGCTTCCCTAGTTATGACCATTCACCAGTTCCTAATTGCCTGCATGGTAAAATGAAATAAAGAAAACTTAAAATGACACATGAGATTCCTTCACCATCCAGCCAGGTAGCTCTCAACCTGTTGTGTGCATTTAAATCACCTGGGTCTTGTTAAAAATGTGTCTTTGAGAGCCTCTTCTTAAGAGATTCTTACTCTGTAGGTCTGGGGTGAAGCTCCCGAAACCCAATTAGACTCCTGAGTGATTTGAATACAGGTAGTTCACGGGATACACTTTGAGAAATAGTCTTTGCTTACCTCTTCAGCCTCACCTCCTGCCACTTCTTCCTGTCCATATTATGTTTTAACAGTATGAACTATTTTAGTTCCTTAACCACAGTGTGATATTTCTTACTTCTATGCACTTGCCTATACTAGTTGTATTAGCTTAATTAACACCAGTTGCTGTGACAACAACAACAAAATCGCAGTGACTTAATGCAATGAAATTTCTTTCTCTTTTACTCAAAGTTCAATGTAGTTATTCCTGAATAGTTACATTTACTAGGTGTCCCTCTTTCAAGTGGCCACTCAGGCTCCTTCAAGGGGATCTAGGGTCCTTCTGTCCTGAGGTGCTGCCAATATGTGGCCTCCAGTGTCTGTATGAAAGGAAAAGAATATGGGGAAGAAAGGCACCTTGAACACTTAAGCACCACAGACTGTAAGGGATAGGCATCATTTCTGCTCACATTCGGTTGGTCAGAAGCAGTCATGTGGTCCCCCTTAGACGCAAGAGGGACTGGGAAATGTAGTCTTGGACGGGAAGCTTCTTCCTAGCCAAAATTTCACTCACAAATTTTGCTGATGAGAAAGATGTCCCTGCTACCCTCTGCCCCTCTGGTCACTAACTATCCACATGCCTCCTTATTCCCACACATGGCACAGATTCACTTCCTTCCCAACAAGGGCTGACCCAAAGTCCTATCTAGTCATTGTGTCCAGCTCCATGATTTCTGAGCGATGTGCCATCTTCTCCATCAGGTTCAGATGTGGCCTTTCTTGGCTCAGCAACTTGTGAACTAAAAGGACAAGTTATCCTTCCTACCCCCATCCCACACATCTAATATGCAATGATGGAGCAAGGACAGGGTAACCTCGGTATGGACTCTTATTTGGGAAGAGGAAGCATAGAAGGCATAGGACAGCGACTGGTCCTTGGCAGTTATGGAGCCACAAGCATTTTGAAGGACTCCTACCTTGATGGTGGAGGAATTGTCTTGTTTTGTCTTTGATAGCACTCTCTGGAGACAGCTCCCTTGTCCATTATTCTCCTTTGCCCCTGGGCCTGTCCTCTGGGAGGTGTTTTTCTCCTTCTTCCTTCTGCATGTCTTCCTTGGCCATATCTGAAGGAGATGTTTGGGGGACTTGCCTTCCTTGCAGACTGCAAAGCTTTTACTCCCTTTTTCCTGCTCATGCAAACTAGAAGACTCAAAGTTATTGTAGCACTGGAATAGTCAGAGACTTTTGTTTGGCAATAACATTTCTTCAAAGCTTGGTAGTCTTCTGATCTGTTTGCTTCTGGTCAATTCCAGGTGCCTGTGAGCATGCTTAAGGATTACTAGATATAAGGCTTGATACTGATTTATTTCATTGCTTCCTTTCCTCCACGCCCCTTTCTATTTCAACCTAACAATGACCATCTTAAGGATATCTGAACCTATGCCTGGGATAAGTAGAACCTTAATATGATCTTTCCACTGAGCCACTTTAATCAATCAAAAGAGGATTTAAATGTTTGTGGTTCGAGACCATTTTTACTTTTTAAATTCCCATTTCTTACTGTTTGGAGTCTTGGAGCAGTCAGCCTTTCAACCACGCAAAGCCTTACGTATTTGCTGTCTATCCTCTCTCATTTCTACTTGCAAGTCAGCCAATTTTTTCCAGACCAACTTATATTACTAACACTGTTTTTCAGCCTCTTCTCTTAGAGCTGTAGACAGAGTAGGCTTGTCTGCCTCCCTCCCCACCATATGAAAAAGTTTGACAGGTGTTTTGCCTCTAAATAACATGAACTGCCATCTTTCCAACTTATGATATCAGTTTTCTTGCCACCTGGGAGCCAAACCAATGTCACATTGCTCTATGTCACTCTTCAATAAATATGTAATTCCAGTTGCCCCAGACCTCACCAGCCTGCAGGTACCAATAGCACCCCATTAATAATATTAACTCTAAAGCCCCTGGATTATGTTCACAGTCCTGCATAAAGGATTGGCAGAGCCCATACTTATGGGAATCATAATGGATTTCCAAACAGGTTGGCTTGCATTAGACTGCTTCTGCTCTTCTTCCGGTATCCTCTGGGAACTGCATGTTGATCTAGCTTCCATTATTTCCTGCCAGACACCTACTGGACATTTCTGTGTCCACTGGGGATCTGTTATCTCCTGAGAGCATCTCAGTTTCTGCTTTTCTATCTTGCCCTTCCATAAGGAACGTAATTTCTTGTGCCAGAGGAGTACTGTATTTTGCTCTGATTTGTCTCCTGCACTTGATGTCACTCTTTGATGTCATTCATAGTGCCCACGTACCATGTTTCAAAATTTCCTCATGTACTTTTGCTGTGACAGTCTCTGTTGATAGAGCACAGACCACACCATCCAATCTGTCCTTGGTCCAGATGGCACCTCCTACTCATACTGGCTTTTTCATCTCTGTCTCCAGGCAGGGTCACAGAACTTTCTCCTTGCTAGTCCTCTTCTCCTGGATAAATAAACTTATTTAACTGATCCCTGAGAATCCCCAGGCTTACACTCCTAGATGTTTTAAAATCTAAGACTAGGTTCTCCTATGGCCCTTCCTACAAATACACTGTGTCACATGAGTGGATAAATGTTCTCTCTTCCTAGATTATCACTCTTACTTTGTTTTGCCAGAGAACTCCTATTCAGTCTTCAAAACCCTAGTTCAGGGGCCAGCCCTGTGGCTGAGTGGTTAAGTTTGTGTGCTCTGCTTTGGTCGCCCAGGGTTTCACCTGTTCAGATCCTGGGCTTAGATATGGTACCACTCGTCAGGCCACGCTGAGGTGGCATCCCACATGCCACAGCTAGAGAGGACCCACAACTAAAATATACAGCTATGTACTGGGGCAATTTGGGGAGAAAAGGCAGAAAAAAAAAGAAGAAGAAGATTGGCAAGAGTTGTTAGCAGAGGCGCCAAACTTTAAAGAAACAAAACAAAACAAAAACCCTAGCTCAAAGATGACCATCTTGATCATCCCAACCACTTCCACCCCTCATAAGAAAATTTCATATCCTGCTCTGTGCTAACTCAGTTTGTACCTTATTACGCTGATTGGTGAATATTCACTTGCTTGTCTGTCTCTTCTATGTTATAATGAGATCCTTAAGTATATTCTGTGTCTTCCACGAAGAAGGTATTTGGTCAGTGTTCATTGAGTTTAATTTCACTAAATTCCCTTTCTTAAAGCACATTTCATCTTCACAGGTGGTGAAGCCTTTTCCAATCCGGTCTCTCTCCCCATCATCCGTATGTGGATTAACTGCCTCCAGCCAGCTTGTGGAGCCTTCTGAAGCGAATGAGGCGCTATGTGATTCTGAGAGTTGCAGAGCACCTAAGTACGTGCCCACCACCCCCACCTCTTGTTATCTGAGTAGCTGACTACCCTTGATGTGTTAAGATTTTATCTGCGGCTGGTACTTTAAAAGTTCTTAGATGATCAGTTTATAGAACTGTATGTGGCAGGGAACAACATTCTGTCTTACAACATTATTCGAGTTGTAACACAAGCCTCCTTGACCTAATTCATGAGAAAACATGATACCATTTTGATCTGAAAACTGCTATAGAAAGTAATTGTTCTCTGAAACGCATCTCAGGCAATGCGGATACCAACTTAATTTTTCTCCTTCACTGCTGTTATTTATGAGGCAGAGGCTAGGAGAAGAGAGATGTTTTTAGATGAAAGGTGAAATATTCTATTGTAGAGTATGTTTTATGAGGAAGAGAAAGAGATATATAATTTCTGACTCTGGGTTTGCATAGGCTCCAGACATCTTTTAAGTTAGCATCTCAAAACATTATTTAAGGCTCTGTTCTCTGGGATCTTGAAGTCCTAGTTTATTTTTTGATATAAAGTCATATCAGTCACAGGGTAAACTCTCTCCTAACAATCAGCAAGCCAAGGGCATTCCCCCCACATCTTCAAGGTTAAAGGGTTCCATTTACTCCGAATGTATTTAATGAGCATATCTTATCATAAAATATGCTTTTAATGATATTTGGCTTATAACGTGTTATTTCCCACTAATTTCTTTAATGACAGTTCCCTTCTCTGGTGTGGTTTGGATTCTAGAGTAAGGACCACAAGTAGAATGAGGATTCAAGAATAAGTCTGAGGCCTTACAGGAGAGAAGCCTTTTCAGGAAATTCTCCCAGTAAACCTGGTTCCAGCACTAAATGGTCATGGACACTGTGCTCAAACCCTACCCCAAACCCCAACGTTGCACAGCTGAGGTGATTGCCACAGGGATGGCTCATAAGTGGGGTTGTTCAGGCATTTGAGAAGTTCTCTGGCTGAGGAAGGACCCTTTCTCACTGTCTTTCTTCCTAAATGAGGCGAGTCCTGAACTGACCTTGAAAGGAGCTGAGGGTATGGGTTGGCACATGCTGAGAAGGATGTGTGATGGAACACAAAGGCAGGAGATGGGCCAGAGAGACTTATAAACAGGCTGGTGAGCACAGAATGGAGAGAAGCAGGGCCTGCAGGAAGGGAAAGGGGGGAATTGGGAGTGACAGGAATGTCCAAAGAGGGCTTTAAGTTGCAAAGCCACATGTTCTTCTGGAACCCCTCTGAGAGATATCAGATGTGGGACATGGTCTCGTGATCCCAGGGGTGATCCTATAAGGGACGCTGCCGGACTCCATTCTCAAGACTGTACCTTAAAGATACAGGCATGGCCATAAAGTCTCCTCTAACCAGCTATACTCAGACCCCAAACCAAAAGTTGACATGACCCAAAGCAGGAAGAAGCCAATGGCCCTTTCAATATCTAGAGTGCCAACCTCAGGAACAGTTGGGGCTGCCTGAGACCATGACTGTGAAAGTTTTCTTCCCTCGAGGCCAAGCTTTTCCAACTCGGCATTATTGACATTTTGGGCTGGGTGATTCTTTGCTGGGGAGGAGGTTGTCCTGTGTGGGGGCGGATGTTTAGCAGCATTTCTGGCCTCTGCCTACTAGATACCACTAAACAGCACCCTCCTTCTCAGTCATGACAACCAAAAATATCTCCAGATAGTCCCAAATGTCCCCTAAGGGGCAAAAGTACCCCCAGTTGAGAACCACTGCTGCAGGCCAGCATGGACACAAAAATCACACAGCCCCAAGCCTTTGTTTCACTAGCAGCATTCTAGAATGTGATCCTGGTACCTTGAGCTATTCTCCTACATCTCAATCTCTTAGTGTCCCTGAACAACACACCTTAAGCCTGAACGATGGTCCTCATTCAGCATGAGACTATTATTGCCTGCTGAGTCCATGACTTGGACTCCCATTTATAGGATTATTTTTTTCTGCAGATGGAAAACTCTGTGAGAACGATGCACGGAGCAGGAAGCAGGAAGGTGTGAGGCATTTGAAAAGAGTTGATAATAGGGAATTCCAACAGACCTGATTTTGAATTCTCTTTTTGCCATGTAATAGCTGTGTGAACTTGAACAATTTACTCTCTTTAGATCTGTTTTCTTATTGGTAAATCATGATTAAAAACAAAAATCTCTCATCCCATTTTGATGAGGCATTTTGAGGAGAGTTAATGTGTGACCCAACTTCTTTTCAACAATATGTTCAAGGGGCATGATGCAAAGAATATAAGCCCAGGCTGTGCTTCTTAGGAGCACCAGGAAACCGAGTGTCTATGCCAAGTGAACAGAGGAGGTATTGTGCACCTTGGGTCAGAGACAGTGGGATTTGACTACTCCTTGAGCCTTTGGTTAAGCATGGGAGAGTAGAGAAAGGCACTCCAGGTGCTGGGAAGGACAGTCTCAGGTGTCTGGGAAGGCAGGGATGGTGAGCAGCTCTATCTGGCTGAGCCAGAGGAAAAGCAGCACAAGAAGTCTGGGTTCTGCTTTGTCAGGGCTGGCCTCCGTAGTTCAGGGTCCACGGTGAGTGAGTCTGCCTGGGGGAGTGAGACATAGTGAGAATAAAAGCTCAGGCCCAGAGAAGACCCAGAAGCTGCAGGGCCAGATAGAGGCATGATGACAATGAGATGCCTATGCATATACAGCCACTGTTCAAATTACAGAGGTTTAAAAACTCAGTTTTACCTGATGACTAAATATTAATAAGGTACCAGCAGTTTGAACTGCTAAAACATTACTGAATTTTTAAACTGGTTTGCCCTTTTCTCATTTCATCTTAGCCAATATTTTCTTCTGTGATATTCATTTTCTTTTTAATCGCAATAAAGCCTTATTGAGAATATACCATCTTTAGACCTTTTCTTTTTATAGCATAGAAAATGCAATCCCATTTCTTTCATAATATATTTTTAAAGAGTAATAATGAATCTCTTGGAATTTTTAACTGGCTATTTAATGGTAGACTTACCTTGAGCTCTAAACTCTTCTAGACAATCAATAATTGTTCTATAAAAATGCAGGAATATTCATTATTGCTGATACTAACTCTCTCATCCTCCCAGCTGCGTGATTCAATTTGTTTAAAGCATTACTCGTCTTACACATGAGGCTGGGAATAAATAGGATGAGAAAGTGCTAAATTAATGATCACCTCATTTCAAGACAGTCAGACTCTTCTATTTTCCTGAATGTGTTTATAAGATTGGATAAGAGCTCCGATTTCTGTGTGACTGGTAGGAGATAAGACATGAGGAGAGAGAATTGGATGCTCACAGGAAAGCTTGCCCTGTAGGGTCAGGAGAGGCTGTGAGAGTGTGTGATGTGTGTGTGTGTGTGTGTGTGTGTGTGTGTGTGTGTGTATGGACCTATGGAGGAAGAGAAGGGGCCGGGGATAAGGGGCCAGATTTGGATCCAAAGGCAAGTCAAGGAGCAATCAGTGTTGTTGATAGAGAAAGGGAAAGGTCTTTTCTCAGGTCCAATAAAGATCTAGGTAGTGTCTTGGTCGCTGGAATCAACCCATGGAGTCAGATTTTCAAGTACCCATTCAAGAAGTATTCCGGTATTTATTATGTATCAGGCACTGTTCTGGTGCTGAGGATATGGTGGTGACCAAAACAGACAAGGTTCTGTCCTCTGGAAGCTTATATTCAAATGGAGCACAGATTTTATACACCTACTAAAACATAAAAAGATAATTCTAGAGGGTAGTGAGTGCATGAAGGAAATGAAATAGCGTAAGATGATGAAGAGTGGATGGGCCTCAGTTTCTCCAAGTGAGGATCGGAGAAAAATCCCCTCACGTTTCTGGCAGGGAGAAGGGAAAAGTAACAATTTTGAAATACATCCAGAATGCTCTGTTTTCCTTAACAAAAGTCTTCCCTCAAGGAAAACTATTTTACCAAAGTCTAACCAAAGTGGGTTTTGCCACAGCCTAACCAACATGGGGGAAGAGAAACATGCAACACCAGCTTCTTCCAGCCTTCCTGTCTTACCTCAGTTGGGGGAAATGAGAAGTGCTTGTGAAGGTCACAGCCAGAGGCACAGGCCAACTAAGAGACTGAGACCTCATCACAGGATTATAGAATGCTTCTCCTCCCCCTTAGCATCACATCAACAGGGCTCCTCATTATGACAGGGGATTACAACCAGAAAGAGCTGCAAGCCTCAGACTCTATTTAAGAAGATATCTCTAGAGAAACTCAAAGATAACAGAGGAGACAAAAACAAGCACACTGCAGAAAATTTTGGCATCTGACACCACAGCTACAGCAAACAGTAAACACAGCCCCATTCCTATCCAGATAAACATGCAACCTCACACAAAAATCTTATCTACCACAGTTCCTTTTACCCAATAACCATATCTGGCTTTCAACAAAAACTTACAAGGCCTGCGTGATATTGTGATACATGAGAAATATATATTTGGTTTCTGTTTCCAGTTCCTGGCTCAGAGATCCTAAAACACATGGAATCTCTAGAGGGATAAGAGTGTCTTTTCTATGCTAATGAGATGACTGGTGACTGGGGGCTCCTACATAGCTTCAGGATGGGGGCTGCTCACCAGAAGGACCAAGTCATGACTAGAGAGCTGGAAATTTCAGCCCCCACTCCAACCTCTGGGGAGGGGAGGAGCTGGAGACTGAATTAATCACCAATGGCCAATGATTGAATTAATCATGTCTACATAATGAAGTCTTTATAAGAATCCTAAACAACAGGATTCAGGGAGCTCCTGGTTGGTGACACATCAAGGTGTTGCCAGGGAAGCATGCCCAGAGAGGGCTTGGAAGTTCCACTCCGCTTCCCTCATACCTTGCCCTTTGCATCTCCTCCATTTGGCAGTTCCTTTATAATAAACCAGTCAGTGTAAGTAAAGTGCTTTCCTGACTTCTGTGAGACATTCTAGCAAATTATGGAATCTGAGGAGGGGCTTATGGCAACCCCTGATTTATAGCCAGTCCATCAGAAGTACAGGAGACTTGGAATTGGCATCTGGAGTTGGGGACCCATCTTGTGGGAATGAGCCCTTAGCCTGTGGAGTCTGTACTAACTCTAGGACACCCAATTAGTGTCTGGAAAGTTGGAAAATTGGTTGATATAGGAAAAAAAAACCCCACACACATTGGTATCAGAAGTATTATGAGAGAAAACAGCTCATAGCATGATAAAATGCAGTGGGGCTCCAGTAAATGGTGGCCCTGGAGGGTTTCTCTAAGAAGATGACCCTAAGCTGAGGCCCAAAAGATGAGATAGCCATTCACAAGCAGAGGAAGAGTGAACCAGACACTCACAAGCAAAGGTAACATGCTGAGGTGGGACTGAGCTTTGCTCTATCAGGAAGCAGAAAGGGTTGTTGGTAGGGAGTGAGCAAAGTGGAAATTGGCATGAGGTGAGGTCAGAGAGGTGGGCAGGGCCATGCTGCATAGGACATGGTAGACTGTGGTTAGAACTTAGGATTTTGTTTGACTTTAATCCAAGTACCACCAAATCTTCCTTTGCCTGAATGAATCAATTTGGCTGCTCAGGAAAGACATGGTGTAGGTCCCTACAACGAAGTAACCACTGCCCCAGCAGGACCAACTCTGTCCTCTTTCCCTCTCCCATTCCACAACAGGCCAGCTCCTTTAGGACAAATACACTCTCCCTGTGGGAAGGGCTGCCACATAAAACCCTGATCAGTCCTATTACAGGCCACCATTGGCAGCAAACCTCCACCTGCCCAACTCCCCCGGCAGCCTGCTAAACCTTTAGTCTCCTGTGTCTCTGCCCATGGCTTGATGACCAAGCACTTGCCTGTTCTGCCCTGGGCACAGCTTGGCTCCCAGTGTAGGGGTCCCTGACCATGGTCTTCCTCTTGCCAACCCAAGAGAGGCCCAGCTTGGCCCCTAAGTCCTCATTATTTTGTTTTGACCCATTTCTTAATAAGGAAGATCTGGATCTACAGTGGAGGGTTGGTCCTTTCTGGGCTTTGTCCTTTGCCCCAAACTGGCTTCTGTGGCCACCTGGGACAGGGAGGAAGAACTGTGTCTCCAGTCCTGCACCACCCAGACTGACCTTCAACCAGCCGCACATGCTGCCCCGTTAGTGCCCAAGGCTGACCTGGCTCTTCCTTTCACACTCAAACCTTGACTCTCCTGCAGCCAGGTAACACCCCTGGAGTGGACCCTCAGGTACAGCTGTGACAGATGGCAGGGAGACAAATAGATAAACAGATCAAATAAAATAATCATCAGGCTGCTGTCATTTCTGGATTCTTTATTTTATAGATTGATTTCCATAGAATAGGCCTACTCTTTAATATAGTGCATTTATCTGACTATCCCAGCTGACAGAGATAATCATGGGCTCCATAAACCAAGAGGAGGCACATATATGCTCATAAGTGTAGCAGATATTTAGCTATTTGTTCTGGTTTACGTTTATTCTTTATGAGCTATCATTCCCTTTTGTGATAAGTTTAAGATCACTCTCAAATATTTATCAGGGTCTCCCTCATTCTCCATAGCTATCATTATTATTATTATTATTATTATTATTATCACTATTTTTAATTTTTATTTTTTTGGTGAGGAAGATTGGCTCTGAGCTAACATCTGTTGCCAGTCTTCCTCTTTTTGCTTGAAGAAGATTGCCGCTGAGCTAACATCTATGACAATCCTCCTCGATTTTGTATGTGGGATGCTGCCACTGCGTGGCTTAATGAGTGGTGCCTAGGTTCATGCCCGGGATCCAAACCTATGAACCCTGGGCCACCAAAGTGGAGTGTGCAACTTAACCACTATGCCACTGGGCCAGCCCAATAGTGATTAGTATTAAAGCAACCAGGATCCTAACGACCACCATTTATTGAGTTCCTTCTACAAGCCAGCATAATAATATGATATGTGAAATGCCCACCCCACCCTGCTACACACATGCACGTGCACGTGCGTGCATACACACATGCACACACACACACACACTCCTTACAGCAAGGCTGCAATGCAGAGACTTTCATTCCCATTTTTCTGATTAGGAAACTGATGCTTCCAGTCATTAGGCAATTTTCTCAAAGTTGCCCATCAAGAAAGTAACAGAATTCAAACCTTTGCCTTTCGGAGGAAAAAACCCGATGCTCTCAGGCATTCTCAGGCTGAAGCTCCTGAGCCCATCCACAGAGGTTCATGCAGCTGTGGGGGTTGTCAGTGTTTTGTCACACTAATGGTTGGAAGGAAGATTTAGGTCACAAACACCTTGCTTTGGTGTCCACAGGAAGAAAAATGAGTTTATTTTGCAGTCAATGAACATATTGATGGGTTTAACTAGCTATATGAGAACATATCAGGACACACTCCTACTCCTTATGCCACCTATCCTGCTGTATTTTATTTCCTATATTGGAGTCTCGAATCTGCTGCTGGTCTGGGAACTTTTCTAGGACATTCGTCATGCTTCACCCACCTCGTGGTGCAGAGTCAGCATTCTATTGAACCAGTGATTCATCTGCCATCTTATTCATTGGCATTCCCTCCACTGCACATCAACCCTGCACAGTCCCCACCAATCCCAAGATCAGCTCCCCCCTCATCTTTATATTTAGAGACTTGTAGAAGATCACTATACTTTTAAGGCAGCTGGTGTCATTTGATTTTTTTAAAAAAATTTTATGTTAAGTAATATTTATTATTTATTTATTTCCTGCTGAGGGAGATTAGCCCTGAGCTAATATCTGTGCCGATCTTCCTCCGCTTTATACATGGGTCGCCACCACAGTATGGCTGATGAGTGGTATAGTTCCAAGCCTGGGATCCGAACCCATGAACCCAGTCCACCTAAGCGGAACACAGGGAACTTAACTACTATGCCCTGGGGCTGGCCCTTGATTGATTTGTTTGTTTGTTTGTTTGTTTATTTTTGAGGAAGACTGGCCCTGAGCTAACATCTGTGCCCATCTTCCTCTGTCTTATATGTGGGATGCCTGCCACAGCATGGCTTGGTAAGTGGTGAGTTGGTCTGCACCCAGGATCAAAACTGGTGAACCCTGGGCCACTGAAGCGGATGCGAACTTAACTGCTGCACCAGCAGGCCGGCCCCCTGATTTATTTTTTAATGGGTAATCACATGCCATAGTATAAGACTCAAAAGTATCCGGAGGCTGTGTGGTTACAAGTGAGTCTAACTTCTGTTGTTTTTCATGTATCCTTATGTTTCTCATGTGGATACAGTCCTTGCAGAGACAGTCTAGGCATATATAAGCAAATATGTGTGTGTATATATTTATCCATAATTTAAACATATGGTTTAAACTGCCCTTTCTGAGAATTGCATGTGCAGTATGCTATCACATGTGTTAAAAATGTTTCATTTAGACTATTTCTAATGCCAAAGTACCTGATGCATTTACTGAAAATTACATTGTATTATCTGACACAGTGGCATAAAACTAACCATATAATTTCCACTTTGGCTGGACTGGATACAAAGTCTTATGCAAGAGAATTGCTGAATGGCTTCCTGGTGATCCCAATGGACTGGTGCAGTTTCCAAATGTGCCTTCACAAAATAAGTCCACACATGACTATTCTGTGATGCTGCCCATACAAAGAAATTCAAGTGGCCTCAGGCAGCCCCTGATCCCTGGTTAATAATTCTGGCTTTTCTGATGCCCTTGCCTTCAGAAGAGCTGCTGAACCAATTTGTGAGAGACAGAAAATCAAGGGGGGGATGGTCAACTCCTTCAGCAAGTGTCAAGATTGCTAAAAGATTTAACTTTCATGAATGGAAAAACAGTAAAGAAAAATGTGAGGAGAGAAATTTTATTTAAGAAGTGCAATTGGAAGCTTTTAAAATTTTTTTCTTTCTCTCTCTCTTTTTTTTTTAAAGAAACTCATGTTTCACATGTTTTATCACTTTAAAGTGATGCCCTAAAGTATGAAAATGTTTCTAAAGTACATAGCTTGTTCTTACATGATGGTGGGTCTAAAACATTTTATTACTGCAATCCTGGGGGCCAGGTTCATTAGGAAAATCAAATAAAAGAAAACTTAGCCTTAGAGAAAAAGGGTAAAAAAGGTTCAATTTTATTTTCTTTTTGTCTGGCTCTCTGACTTGACAAGGGATTTCTCCAAACACTCTCCTCAAACTGTCCCTAACTGTGGCCTGCTTTGGGTGAAAGGGCAATGCCCGGCTCAGCCTCTGGTCCAGGTTCTGGCTGGCCCTGTCTTCCAAAAGCCCCCTTGGGAGAGTCCAAAGGTCTCTCTCCATGGAGTGGTCAAGGGCTGCATCTTGTAGCTAGATTACCCATATTATCTGATTCCCCCCCCCCCCGCCCCCCCTTTATGTACTACAATTGAACCACTTTTATTCGTAGTCTCCCATTCTATTGTAAGAGAGCTAATCTTTCGGTACTATCAAACAGAAAATCTCTCTAATTCATCAACTCTTTGCGCTGCATTGGAACCTGGGGCAATTGTGAAGTTCAGCCTCTACAGGGCTATTTCAATTCTGTAATTCTGTCCTCAGAGGCAGGTAGAGATTTCTATTGAAATCATCTTGATGAGCTCAAGAGCCCTGACTTGTCCCTTCTTCCACATAAGCAGAGAGAGTTTGACACCTGATGCTGGCTGAAGCCTGGAGAAGGCAGTTGACCTTTGGTCAGAGGGAAGGGAAGGCAGTAATCCAGTATAGCAGGAGCCAGGTTAAGCTTAAACCAGATATGACTCTGGCTATGAACTCTTGGCTGAGGACCCCCAGGGGCTGTTACAGCAGGGTCATTTATTTGTTTGTTTGGCTAGACTAATAGTTTCTTTCCTGAACCTCTGGGGAGGGAGGGCTGGACATAGAAGAGATGCTCAATAAGTATTCATTTTCTTCCTTGCCTTTTCTTTATAAGTAAACTTTCTTCTTGCTACTTCCATTTCTCTTGGCAATAGCTACAAACCTATTCAGATATGTATGGCTATTTCCCCCTAAACCAGATAGCAGTTTAGTTCTGTGAGAGAAACTGGGTATATGGCGTTCTGTCTGAAGAAGGACTTCCCCAAGTGGATTGACTGCCTTCTGAGAAAGAGCATCCAGAAGGAAAGTGAAGAAGCTGCTTCTACGAGGCAAGTGGTCTCACCTTGGTGCCCAGGAGACAGAGTGACATGGGGACAGAGAAGGGCCATCTTCCTCATTTCTGTATAGAATGTAGAATGGCCCTATTCCAGGGATGACTCCAAGGATTCTGATTCCTTTGGCACCTTGCAACTCACACCTTCGAGAACATGGTAAGGTAGCCGTCTTGGCACAAACATCACCAGTCCTTTGTGGGGCACCAGCAGGTGTAAATCTCTGAGCTTTGTACACTGACTGGGGGATCAGAATACTTTTGAAGAACCCATGTGAGACTCCCCTCGGGACTTCAGAGGTACAGAGAATGAGTACTTTGCAAGAGGCTATATTAAAAACTTGGGAGAGAGAACCAGAGAAAGTAGGGATTCTGCCTTTAATGTGACCCTATGTGCATGTCCTGTTGTGTGAGTTGTGGTGAAATCAGTACAAGCTATCCAAAGCAAATTCTTCAATTTGTTGTTCCATATGTAGACACCATTGAATAATGACGTGAAATTAAACATGGTGGGACATTATTATACTGAGCGCATGCCCATTGAGATGAAGCAGGAAATAAACATGAAGACTCTACTCTTACTCTGGTATATAACATTAATTGAATGTGCATAATGCACCACCCTGTTGTAAGCATTTCCACATGAATTACCTCATTAAATCCCCCCGCCCCCCAAAACCCAAGGAGGTAGTACTGCTATCCTTAGTCTACGGCTGAGGACATTGAGGTTTAGAGATGTTAAGAAACTTGCCCAAAGAAACATAATCAATAATTTGTTGATCTTGAACAGGAAGATAATTCTGTCTGGTTCCAGAGACTATACCTTTAATCACCAGGCTAGGTTTCCTCCCCTGTGACTTACCTAAAATCATGTAATTCTCTAAACGAGGTTGGAGAGGAGGCGATAGTTGCACATTCTCCAGGGAGGGGAGCTGCTAGAGAATATTTAGCTTTCTTATCCCATTGGCCTTAACGGCTGTATCGTATAAGGTGAAAACAGATCCTGCGATTTTTGCTGCTAGGTCTAAGAGAGGAAGAGGAAGTGGGAGGACTATGTCTTCTCTTAAAGGACAGAGATGGGGAACTATTGTTTATTGAAGAGATACTATGGGCGGGCTGCATTGGACATTATGTATATTGAATTACTTCTGTGTTTCTGGTGAATAGGGATAATAAGTGAGTCCACCTCTCTTTCTCTCTATAAATATATTTTTTGGATTTCTAAGTTCTCCTCTGATGAATATAAAGCAACATGAGTGTTAGATTCTTCCGCTCTCAGGGAATTTACAGGTGTGTTGAGATATCAGCTTATAATTCTTTAATTCTATAGATTATGTAATTATAATAATATTATAATGCATATATTAACTACATATATATTTATTATGTCATATGTTATCATAGTAAT